ACAAATAGAAGAAAGAGTACTTTGTACGAGAAGACACAAGCACGAGGGAAGGTTCAGACGATGGCAAGGAACCTGGTCAAAAAAAGGACGTCACAGATGGCCCTGCCAACTAGCTGTCCTTGTTAGGTCGTGGGAGTGACGAGATGGGGAATCGAAGAGGCAGAGGATTGGATGAGCAGGAGGGAGATCGGTCAAGGATAAGTTGTGGAAGGCGACGGAGGTAGTTGTTTATTGTATCACGGGAAAGGATGCACACGAGGGTACCCAGTCATTAAAGCAATACTCGAGCGGCAAGCTAGCGAGCCAGCATGGCCGTTCATGTAGGTGAGGGACCCTCCCCACGCAATCTCATCCAGCGCTATATCACACGAGCTGTTGTCCCTACAGCTCTCTCCATTGAGAAACGTCACAAACCAGTGAGTGCCTTGGTGAGCTCCAGCCATGGGTACCCATCGACAGGGAGGACACAGCAAGCAATGGGGGTCTTGGAGAGGTGCATCGCAGGGGTTGGGTGTGAGGCAAGGATCATTAGTTCAGCGAGGTGTGGATCACCAACCTGCTAACGGAAATGGAGCACATCTATATGTACATGCAGCACAGCTGTACATAACTAGTACGCTCTAGGATGCAGGCAGGTTAGCCTCCGCCTGGATAGATGTGCCCCTCCCCGTCGCAAATGACGGCCCAGGTCGAATAATTTTGTAGGTTGGGTTTATTGGGTCACCTTGACGGGCCGAGACTAAACCACGTTCTGGTGTCCAGCAAATAACCTAGCAAAAGACCCCAGCGGGATGGTGTCGTGGTAGCAACAGTAATCTGATCCCTGGGCCTGGATATGGATTGTCTATGGGCGGAATTCGACCAAGCGGTGCAGCAGTCTCTCGACCCGAGGGCAGGAGAGCCAAGGGTAGAGAGCGCCACAGGGCGGATGGAGTCCGGAGGACGACAGACATGTTTGTGGATGAACGCCCGAGGAAGCGGTCAAACCCCTACCTTGCCTTACCTCACATCAAAGCAGCAGATGGATGTGCATAATGCAGTGCTCTCCACCAAGGAACGTGAGCTGGTGGTCGTGGCCGCTGGTAGCTGTTAGGGCACTTTTCGGGCTGCTCCCGCTTGCCCGCCCCCTGCAAGGTATGTAGCGCACGGTGGCCATTGCTGGCCCTGGATACCAACTACCTTAGCGCATACGCAAATCACGGCGGCGGTCAGAGTGACGGCGGCCAGACTCGAGGCACTAGACACCATTGCTGGTGGTGGCATGGTTCAAAACCGTCCCCATCCGTCGTACGTGCATGAGGCGCCGACGAGCGAGAGAAGAGAGGAGAAGAGAAGAGGCGGGACGACAAGAAGCGGTCTTATGCCCACCGCCGTCTGCCAATGAGGTGCCTACGAAGAGGCCAGTGATTTGGTGGCGTTGGTTGGATGCTGCCGCAGTCAGATGCATCCAGACAGCGCTTCGTCACCAACCGATCCAAGAGAGGCGTGTGGGAGCAGTTGGAACCTGCGTCAAGCGGCTCCATTGAACAACCTCGACTGCGAAACAACCACAACACCAACAACAGGACCCCAACCTGCCTTCGATTGGGGGTTGGGGGCTGCCTGATCTTCCTTCTCCCGTGGGCAAACCCTCCCGATGTCACTCGCACCGGGCAGAAGAGGAGATGAGGACCCAGGCCCGGAAAGAATTCGAAAATAAAATAAAACACCTAAATCAAACGACGGGAAAAAAAGCAAGTTCAATGGGTCGTTTCCCTCTCGGGCCGTCACATCACGAAAGGATGGCTGTGGGCAAGAGCGAGGCAACGGGCTGGCCCTGCAGGGAAGCACCAATGCCCGTTCTTGGGCAACGACTGACTGCAAAGACGGCAAGTGTGGCTGGCCATGTCCGTTTTAGGTGCCCAACAGGTAGGAACAGCACAGCACCACCGGCGCAGAAGGCAGGTGGTAGGCATGTAAGGTAAGGTAGGTAGGTGCCCACCACAAATTGGGCGCCTATGTTTGCAGATGATTAGCTGGCTCCTATCCGCCGTCAACACATCATATCATCCCTCCCTAGCCGCAACAAGAGCCATGTCTCCACCGCAACCCTACCTCGGATCTCCATTTCCAATCACTCAGGCACCTCGAGGCGGCAACCAGCTCATGTGTCTGTGCGGGTGAGGCAAGCGTGTGCTGTGCAGCGGCGAGCGAACGGCCAGCTCACGTCTACACCATCACAGGGCGGCATCCACATCTGCAATTGGTATATGCAACCAGGGCGCTGTACGTGTCACCACCCACCCACTCAGCCTGCCCTGGTTGGCCGAGCCCACATGGCTTGATGTCTTGCTTGTCCCGCGAGAGCTGTATGTCATCCACCTTCTCTCGGTGACGTGGAGCCCGGCTTGTGGCTCCCTTCCTCGCTCAGGCTTCGTTACCCACAATCTCCTCCACATGACACAATGGGACGAACTGCAGTCAATTCCATGTACCGGCCGATGGGAGGAAGGTGTGGGTGAGCGGAGAGGATTTGTTGTACAAACCCTTGGCGCACAATCTCAGACACTCTACCTCACCCCAGCAATTGGGCATTCCCGCCGCCAGGTACTCTGGCCCGCGGGTCATCGAACCAAGTACTCCCGAGAACAGGAACATGCATCTGAAGCCAGTTGCTGACCACTCACTGTGTGTGACAAGGCAAGGCTTTCCCGGCTCACGAGGTACGTACCTGCGCGCATCACTCCACCATCCCATCTTGTTCTGGACCTCCCAGACTTTCGCGGCGACCGGATTTGGAACCGGTCCTCGACATGAATGATTTTACCCCTGTCGTGACTGCGACCCTACAAATTTTCAAACATCCATTTCAGACGTGGGAGAGTGGCGGCAGGCTCACGGCTGCTTCGGATCCGTGGCGGGCGAGTGTGTTTGCCATGGCCGATGACCGATGACAACAGACACGCCACGACAGTCCTCCCTGGACAGGCCCAGAGACAGACGTCAACCGGACGGGCGCAAGTGACTCGTCGCACCAAACATAGTCCTTTCAACAAATAGCATTCGAAACTAGCAAGGCAGGATGCGAGCTGGTTTCATTTCATTGAAACACGGATAGCCCTGCTTACGGAATATCTAAAAGTATGAAGATTAAAATGATGGATGATGTCAAGCATCACTACCACGCGAGTGCACGGAGGCTCCTCTGCCACCTCTGGAAACCTGGGCACATTTTCCCCGATGCCAGGGCTGCTGGACACATGCACACAAGTCCTCAAACCCACTGCAATCTTGCCCCACCCCTGCCCCTGTTAGAGTGTGGCTGTCAGGCGGGATGAGCGCTGCTGCTGCGTGACTTTAGATTTTCCTGCGGCCCATATGCGACCTCATCGTCACAGCGGCTGCTCTCCCGTGTGCCTGCGCAAGTACTCGATACAAAGCGGAAACCGCATGCTGACCTCACAGCATTACATGTTCCAAGACAGCCACCCAGATAAGCATGACAGCTCATTTTTTAGGTCGCACCAGCTTCTGTTCTAGCTATCCTTGACCTTCCTCTTCGCCCCCAACATCTCACCATTCCCCCAATGCGCCGATCAATTCATCTCAACCAGCAGAGGAGGACATCGTTGAGATGAAGGAAGGATTTGCGATGTGACATTATGTTTGGCATACAAGGTGGCACCAGGTCAGGTGGATATTATGGCTATTCTCCTACCTGGTGAGTGATCGACTAGTCCGCTCCCCGGCAGCCGCAAAGTACGAAGACCAATTTCAGGTCGATCGGTAATTAATAAGAGTAGCGAAATGAGGCTGCTTCGCGCGTGGAAAGTCAATGTGAGTAGCACGCCTTTGTCCAAGAAATTGGAATTGGTATCCCCAGCCTCATGTTCCAATCCACGCCCACATGTCGACTTTATCCAAGGCCTACACCATCCATTGAACGGCTAAGGCCAAAGTTAACTCTAACATTGCTTGCGATCCGTGCCATCGGTACCGACTAAAACCCAGCTGGGCATCACCATGTCAGCCCTTGACCAATCACACTGGTTCCCACGCCCCAACCCCCACCTGACGGGCGAATTGAAGGATTGGACCTACGGTACGTACATGTCTCAGTTGCTGGAAATTATTCCAGCATGGGGTTGCTCGCTGGAGCTGCAAATATGCACCCCCGGCTGATGGATGGGGCAGATTCAGCACATATGCACCACCGGGAAAGGCACAAATACCCCAGGCCATTTGGCTCGTGCTTTCCGTACCTCCCTGCCCTGGTGAACCAACCATTGCAGCTTCTCACATTCCCTGGTTTCACCAATGGCCATCGAGCAAGCAGTGCAAGCCTCGGCACAGCTGGAGGTGTGATTATGCAGTAGGAATGCCATGCATTTCGCATGCTGCACCTGACAAGTGAAACCAACCGCAGAAAAACACGTAACGAATCCACCAATATGAACCGTTAGGGTGGGCACACGCTGGGATTCAGCGCTTACCGCTGCGAACCAAAGTCCGGCTCCCGCTAAACACCCAAGACACCCATAAAAGGTGAACCCAGCTTCTAGGCCAGTGGCCAGTTTGGCCATGCAAAGGTCACAGTAATGGCGAGATTAAATGTACCGCTCCCAGGTCTCATCACCAGCGTTCGCTTTCAGCATTAAAAAAATGCGAGATGAAGTTGACCTTCCGACAGGAGTTGCGGTCCCCCTCTTCCGTGGCTAAGAGGCCCGCTGATGGTGAATATTGGAATATCGGAGACCAGGGCCGCCGTTCCTCGATGTTGCATCACCCGTCACCACACATTTCATGTGAGCATCGTGTAATAACTGTACAAGCAATTCATCTGCCAGCCTGATAAAGAGCCAAGATGCCCTGTGATTGATTTTGATTGACTCCTGTCAAGTATCACTCGTTGACTCTTTCACAAACGGCCCAAATAGCCGTCCTTATCTCGAAGGCACATCCTCAAAAAAGGAACGAAAGCGAGTGTACTGGTTTCCGGAGCTCGTCTTCAAACTCACCAAATGTCTGCCTTCCAGGAGTGGGAGTCCAAACAGCCTTGGCTGGACATTCGCTGCAGTTTGGGTGAAGGCCCGTTTTTCGAGGAGGAAAGCGGCACGATTCGTTTTCTCGACATCAAGCAGAAGCGGATACACCAGGCATCACTTAAGGATGGAATCTCCGGCCTGGAAACTATCCAGCTCGATGTCGCCCCCACCGTGACGTGCAACATCGCCGGCATCAAACCCAACGACCGAATCCTTATCGCCGTCAAGACAGGCATCGCTGTCCTAGATTGGAAGACGGGAAAATACGAAGTGATTGGCACCTTTCCCCCCAACAAGCGACTTCGAAGCAATGACGGCTCGGCCGACCCACAGGGCCGTTTTTGGGTTGCCACGATGACGGATTTTGAATTTGGGGAGTGTAAGCCTGAAGGTAGCTACATGCCATCATCGTCCCCAACCAAAGATTGGCCCAAATCAACTTAGTTTCGGGAGTTTGGGACTGGATACGTACGCAGTTTGGCTAACAAAAGCGCCAGGTTCACTTTACTATTTTACGAAGGGCCATCAGGCAGTCGAGGTTCTCAAGGACCTCATCATCCCCAACTCAGTAGGCTGGTCTCCAGACAACAGCGTAATGTACTTTACCCATTCAACAGCCCATCAGGTGCTCGCCATGGACTATGATGTAAAATCGGGACAAGCCACAAATCAACGGATATTCTACGAGCACAAGGGGCCGGGGGATCCTGACGGGTTTCGAGTTGACGTAGAGGGAAACATCTGGCATGCCATCTACGGCGAGTCTCGAGTCATCAAGATTAGCCCAACCGGTGAGCTCATTGGCCAGATTAACCTGCCAACGCGAAACATCACATGTGTCCAATTTGCAGGCACTGAGCTGGTCATTACAACGGCGGCAGACGAGGACAGCGATGACGAAACGAGCAGGCGGTTTGGAGGGGCGGTATTCAAAGTGGAGGTCGGGGTTCGTGGACTGGAACTTTTTGACTTCAGGCTTGACACAGAATAACGATGAGTCGGGCACCCAAGGCAGCCGACCCCAAGTGATCCGTGTACAAGGAGGTCAGACCTGGGGCCCACGCTATGCCACGCTCGCGACGCCCCATAATGGAGGAAACAAGCTGGGAACTTCTGAAGAGGAGGTCAACAGATGAAGATGGGATATGTGTGACATCCAACAGAAGGAAATTGAGGCAGGGATTTGGAAGTGAGTGGTCAACCACAAACCAGCCCAACTCCCATTCCCAACCTTGCGGCCCGGCGCACGGGTATGCAGTCTCCTGCATGGGGGGCCAGGGACCAGGAACATGTGCACCACCAGACCAGAAAAAAAAATAGGCACTCTTGTGTTTAATCCTACCATTTCTTAGCCGTTCTCGACTATGTGCATATCTTGTATCTATACGAGACGTACCTTGTCTAGGGAAAGTCGCTCCCACTTGCCAAGCTGGCTACGTGGGTTCATGCACGCAGGCCCTCGCCATCCAGACCAAGTAAGTACATGGACAGGGTTCAGGTACAGATCCCATGTCCCGAGGACATGACGCATCGCGCGCAGAGACCCAATGAATGGCTGGCTGCTGCTGCAGGGCTGTGACGTTGACCACCAACCCTCGTTACCTGTCGAAAGAGACGCTCCCAGAGACATAACACTGCTTCACCGCCCCTCACCGCTGGAAGTGGCCAGCTGGGTCGGGGACTTGGAGAGGGCAAAAAGGATCGGTTCGTGCGTCTGCATGTCACCTGCACAACGACAGATGCGGTGCAAGCTGCTTCGCGCCAGCTCGGCTGCAGGGGATCAGATATGCGCGGACAGCCACACAAGGCGCGCCAGCCATCCACCGATGGGATGGCTGGCTGGCGGGCATGGATCTGAGATACATGCGCGCGTGCGGTAAGCAAGCATACATACAGGCAGGCGACAAACGTCCACCTCGTTGATCCTCTGGCTACGGTCATGACCACATAGGTTGCGGAGTTGTAGCGGTCTGCACTTCACCGCCTGGTTACACAGCGCATAGATCTCGGCATTCCGTGTCTAAACTGCGTCGGTATCCCCTTAGCCGCAGCTTTCTGTCAGGTATCCGACAATCTTTCTGTTCCAATATTACTTCATTTCGCAGCCAAGGACCAAGGCACGCCTCATGGCCATGCACTCGTACATGGGCTTCTGTTTGATGTGCCGCATCCCTGCGAGGTAAGCAGTTTACTCGCTTTTGCTCTTCTTCTCTTTTCTTTTTCCTTGTTGGTTTCTTTTTTCGGCTGCTCTCTTTTTTTCATGTACATCACTAGAATCCTCCCACCAATCCCGTTAGCTTCGCACTATACAGTCTTTGGCACCTTGCTTTTGCTGTTTCTTTGCTTTTTCTATTTTGGAGGGAGGGGCCCATTAGAGCATGCCATCATCTAATAGCGTGGGAAATAAGGAAATAAGGGGAGGGTTACTACCATGTCAATGAGGGCAATAGCGGCGCAGAGCTCTCTGGTCAAATGACTTGGAGTCATTCCAAAGCCCATCCCAATTGTCTGCCGCGCCCCATCTACCGTCACAGCGAATGGCCTCTCCTCCCGAGCTGGGAGTACCAAAGGCGGTAGGTAGATGGATACGTAACGCGCTATGCACGTATGCAAAACGCCTCAGCTCCAGCCATGTGCCGTGCCCCATTTCCTGGGTCGCCCTCTGGGAGATTTTCATAAACCCCGAAAGTGGTCTTCCCCACGTGCTCAGCGTAATCCTTTCGGGCAGCCCTTCTCACCGCGGCGCCGCCCCCCTCCCTCACCGTGATGTGTGATCCCTTTATACGGTAAGCACGAGTCAGATCCGCGAGGCGCCTGAAACCAGATCGCCAGCCTCTCTCTGCGAAACTCGACGGCCACTCCTGCCATCGTACAATGGGTGATCCCTTCACGGGTACCTCCATCGTCCATTGGTGACGGGATCAGCCCGGACGGATGTGTCAACTAGCCACTGGCTAGTCCAATGACTATTAGCACGCTTCCTCCATGGGGGGTGTGCCCGCCACTTACAGAGACTACCTAACACTATCCGAGGGGGGGCGGCTGAGAGGCTAAACCAGGGAGATTATTGAGATGCTGATCCAAGCTTCTCATCAAATCCCAAGATCGGTGACGCTCATGGCTCCAAACCCTGTCCGCGAAATGGGCGATCTGACCTCCCTGTCGGTAATGCATGCGAAAATGGGCGATGAATCAAAAATTCAATAAGGTTTCATGGCGGAGGCTGGTCCCAGCATCGTACATAACATGTTCCTCTCCCAGCTTCCCCCGACCCCCCTCCCCACTGGGGATCCTCTGGCACTAGGCTGGCTGATGCTGGCAACTCGCAATCAACACACCATGAGACGGAGGGCCAGGGAGGGGAGAGGAGGGGAGGGGGAAAGGCGATGGCTAGATGATTCAAAACTGTCATGTTTTCTCGCAAGGATCAGCAAAACAGTCCTGCTGAGGACACTAACGACGATCAGTCAACACCCACCCTCCCCTCTCCTCCCCTCTCCTCTCCTCCCCTCCCCTCCTGTTCCTTCTGAGGAGGAATATCAATGTCCAACCGACCAGCGGGCTCGGATGGAGAAACCGGCCGGAAGTGTCCCCTGTTTTTGGGCACCGCCTGGGGGACCCTCCCCCCTTCATTGTTCCCTCCTTGGAAACAGAACAATGGGGCATCTCGATCTTGGCCCGGCCGCAGCGTAACGCGAACTAGCTGGTCCTCAAGCAGGAAAAAAAAAAAAAAAGACCTACACGCCTACTCCTCACAGGACCCCTAGACCTTCCTTTCGACCAAGAGGCAGTTCAGCCCAGCCCAACCCCTACCCTCCCCGGCAACTTGGCCGTTGCGCGTATCCACCAGGTTGGGGGACCCCCCTCGCCAGTTTTTTTGCGCGTCAGCAATCTCGACTTTGTGTGTCTAAACTTGGCCTTGATGGCGTACTATGTACGTCCTTCCCTTTCGTGGGGGGCCGGTGGCCAGGTGACTTGCGGGAGTTGCCAACCAGCGATGGGCTCATCGAGGCCTGGGCGCGTGTCGGCTTGTGCGTGCTCGGCGGCTCAGCCCAGCAGAACAACACATGTATGGAGTCAAACAGACCGCTAGTTTCCTACCTGGGGATCAACGTACCGGGCTGGCAGTCTGGATGGATCACGCTCGGCATGGCCACGTGTCTTGGGCACTCTTGCTTTCGATGGTGCATTTGGGGTTTCTGAATCCTGCCCATGAGAGTAAAAAATTCATGCAAGGTAGGTGGTTGGGCTCCAGGCAAGACAGGGCGGCAAGGTCATTGAGTCATGGCATCCTCATCCTCTTCCAAAGAACCTATGGCCAGCTCATCTTCTCTCTCCAAGTGACTTTATTCTGCATAGGGTAGGTAGAAAACTAGGACCATGCAACTAAGGCGTTGAGCTCGTGGAATAACGCCGTTGTACACTGCGTAGATGCCATCATTGTGTCGGTTGAGCACTTCCAACAACGGCAACCATGTCTAACAGTCTGAGCTTTGAATCGGGACTAGAACTTAACCGACCCATGTCTGTATCAAGTTAAATGTGCGATACTCATACTTTTGACCCCTGAGAATAGAAAATGTTGCGTACCTAGGTACACTGCTGCAGAGCCAAGATCGCAGATGCGGCTTGAAAGATGACCCTTTTTCGTCCTTCCATCTCATCATCCTGTATTACCGTCTATAGACAGGGGAATCCTTCTCCAGGTCTGTGTTGATCACCAGGTCATCTTTTCCTCTCATATGCAACACAATTGTCAGCCCCTCTATCCCAAAATCGTCGCATTCGTGACGCGCCAAAGTGTCTCCCACTCCAACATCAATTTGACCAACCCGTAAGCTTCCTGTAGCCTGGCTCGTATCCTCATGTGAGTTGATCTCAGATTTAAGTTGTTCCACCTCTGAGTTCAAGTCCATACAGCGTGCCCTCCATTCGCAGGCGTGGTCTGGAGGCAGAAAAGGTTTGGGGTTTCGTATCATAGGCCGCTCAGCCTCCCTTCTTGACACTTCCTTCAACGTTTTCGGGGGGGTACGAGCGGCCCTCTCGGCACTTCGACGTTCGGCCTGATCCTTGAGAAGCTCCTCGGCACTATGTCTGGCAAGTGAGTTTTCCAGATCCCGTAATTTGAGTCGGGACGGCGTTTGCTCCAGCCATTCTTCTTGAGGTTGGCGGAAGTCACGAGTACTTGGCCCGGGCACTACGACTTGACTTTGCTGCTTGGCATCCACATCCTCGACGGCCAGAGAAACCCCAGGTTCGTCATTATGCAACGATGCCTCTTGGCTTGGGTTGCAGAACCCACAATCATATTCCTTCTCGCCTTGCGTCTGCGGAGTTCTCGTCAGCCGGCTCAAGCTACGACCCCATTCCGAAGGAGGCGTGGTCGATGGCTTAGGAGACTCGTCATTACGGAGTCTCTCGACCCTTCTCAAATGCTGCCTCATTTTCACCAAGCTGGCATTTCCCGGATCATGGTGTAATGCATGTATTTCAGGGTCTTCCGTCACTCTCCGTAGTGAATTCTTTGCCCAAGGGGCGGTTGACTCAGCATCGTTCTGCGTTTTCTCCATTATTGGCCTTCTCACCTTCTTCAACTTGGGCCAGACATCGATATAGGCCTCTTCCGGCAGGTACGGGTAGGGGGCGTACGGTTCCTGTCTCTCGTACTTCTTGGGGGCTATGGATCTATAAGATGTGTCCATTCTTAGGTCAGATTCAGCTCGGCTCTGTTCTGTTACTTGGACCAATGAACTACTAGAAACCTGGTATTTTAAAGGCTTCTCAGTTGTCATCTTAGGAAGATTTGGGGTACTCTTCGTGTAATGGCTCCTCGATTTGGCTCCAGAAAAGTCCGATATTCCATCAGGCTGAGACTTCTGTGAAGACATGTCTTCCATAATCGTGTGAGAAGGTCTATTCAGTCCCGGTATGCGAGTATCTTCGTCTGGTTTTGATTCTTCTGTGGGTACAAGCTCCTGCTGAGCGCTGTGG